TAATGCTAAACGGATGAGGTATCGGTAGCGAAGTTGCAAAAGTTGGAAGAGACCCTATCGTTATGAACATCAGTTGTTACATGGATATTCTCTTACGGGAGACGCTATATTGATATTACAGTACATCGTATACAATATTTGAAAGAAGTTAGCTTGATGCGTGACGATCCATCAAAAACGTCAACCATCATGTTTATCATTATTATGTCACATAACAAGATCTTATTTCTACACATAACTGCTCCTTCAAATTTGTGTTTAACTGTTGAGGGAACACAAAAATATTTTCTGGAGTTTCAACCGAGATCTATCATCGTCAATGTGAATTGTCAACATCAATTTTATTTTTTTAAAATTATAAAGGTCATGCTATAATACTATTCGTTTTGTCACCATAGCAAGGATCCCTCTTATTTGGAGTTGCATGCTATGCAGATAGAGCCATATGATAACATATAGCATGATTTGAGTTCTTCCGTCGACTCGAAATTAAAGTCTTAATGACTGTTATTTCTCGCTCGACTAGTACCGGTATCTCTTGCAAATTGCATCAGAACTTCATCAGGATTCTCATCACGATCGATGCCATTTTCGTGAGGTTTGCAAGTTGCAGTACCAACCAACAAGTTAAGAATCCAAGACTAAGAACGGACTTTGTGCAACACTTGTCAATCAATGATATACTGTATAATATGACAGTCCGCGAATAAACTAATTATCGCGTCTCACGCACAGGTTAGAGGCTTCAGAATTCTAACGTAGATGTAGATGTTCTCTTTTGATTTCAGCAATTCGCGTATATTCTCCCGCACGCCCTATACATCATGACTCATAACTTCAATAGTGCAAGCCACACTATTGTCATTGTCAAATAATAAAGTATATCTGTGGTTTGCCTAATTTACGTGCAATTTTAAAGCGTGGCTTATGCATAAAGTCCAAGCTAAAGTCTCATGTTTTAATGACGTAACTGTTCTTTAACTCGTTACTCATATACTAGTTAACATCCTACATACAGCAACTTGCGAAACGCGTCAGCCGTAATGAATATCTGCCAGACTGAATGAAAATCTTATAATAATTTTTATTTATAAAGTTTCGCCGTGCTTCCCAAAATACAACTAATGCTGTATATGTATCATGTCGTCCAATGTTGAAATGAGCATTCAAAATATAAAATGACTTTAGCGAACATGTCAGATCCCCTGCCACTCGTATCTGATTATCAGAAGAAAAGATATTGTTTGCCTGAATCTTTGCAAAAAACCAAACGTTTCAATAACATTGTAACCATATTGAACTTCAAATTTTACATGGCGTATAAATTTTATAACTTTTATCAAAAAGAAGGTAACAAGAAAGATTGTAAAGTTACGCCTCTCATTCTAAAGTATTGATTAACAGGCTTCATAAAAGTCGATATTCTTTCCAGAATGAAAATTTATGGTTCCATATATGCATGAGAGTCTGTGATGTCTTATTCATCCTTCACCTTGTACAAGTAAAGGTCTTGATTTGCCATTAGAATTATATTCTTGTATAAATGCATAGTCTACGTATGGACTAGGGCCAAAGTAGAACTCCTTAAGGTTGGGACATCCACATGCTATTATTCTAAGATCATCAGGATGGATGCTGGGGCAATCTCGAATTCGAAGTTGCTCAAGTTCTCTTAAACTCGTCAGCAGTAATGTGATAACCTGTAAATAATAATAATAATAATAACAACAACAACAATCAATATTTGAATTGAACATATATTGCTTTTATATGGATTGCTCGGGTATACCTGAGTTGGTAAATCTTCGGTACTTGACAAATAGAATTCTTTTAGATTTGGACACCCTGTGGATATAGCTTTTAGTCCCTCAGCAGTCATTTCACCTGAGGGACAAATGCTGAGTTTTCTTAAACCACTCCCATATACTCCTAACCCTTCAATTACACTGAATTCCGTAATATTATCGCAATACGACAACTGTAAAGAATTTAAAGTATCCGATACTGCTGCAAGGAAACGAATAAAATGGTAATCTGATATTGATGGTAACTGAAAGAAGCAGACGTCATTTATAGGCGGGCGAGTCTTGACAATAGTGTCAAGAACGAGATCACTAAAATTACAATTGTAAATGTGTAGACTAGTCAAGTTAATGCGCTGTTCTGTAATTAAAAAAGTCAGACCTAGATCATTAACATGTAGTGTATTCGATTCCTGAATCTGAATTTTCTTGAGGTTTTTCAAACGACGGGACAATACAAAGATCCCCTCATTAGTTATTCGACTTGCATATTGTAAAGACAGTTGCAATGACTCCAGGCCGTTTGCATTTTCAGCTAAGACGGCCAAAGTAGAATTTGTAACTCCCCAATGCGGTTCAAGTCCAAAATGTTTCAAATTACGACATCGCATAGCAATTTGTACCAATGACTCATCTGTAAGTGCGGGTGGATTGTTCAATATAAGCGATTCCAAAGTATCATTCAGATTTATAGAAATCGATAATATGGCCGAGTCGTCTAAGTTTCCGCAGTCCCAGATGTGGAGTCGTTTGAGTTTTGTACATGAATTGGTTATTGACGACAGAGTATCGCATGAGATCTTGTTGCCAAGAATTATCTCGAGGCCAGTAAGATTCTTTCCATAGTGAGCTATCCCGGTGAGACCTTTGTCGGTAACATTTCCGCAATCACCGATGGAAAAGTGTTCCATTCTTGGACATTGGCTGAATATCATATCGATTGCTTTGTCACTAAGCTGGGGTAAATTTAGTAATTTCAATGTTCGTAAATCAGAGCATCGATATGCAATTTGGCACATTAAAGTAGTCGAAACGTTTCCAACATTAGAAAAATCAATATGTTTCAACACGCCGCATATTTCAGATATTAAATCTAGTTCTGCCGATCCGACATGATGCGATACTCGAGACAAGTCGAGACTATGTATCAAGCAGCCATATGCATAGGTTGATCCGTTTTGTTTAGTGCGACAGAGAGTGCGAATAAACTTGTCAAAGGTGGTGGCACGTTTTATGCGAGGTGCTCGCCAGAGTGTGTATGTTGCACATGTATTCCAGAGGCGAGAGACTAGACAACATGAGAAGAGATCTATCTGTTCCTCGAGGTTGGAGATAACTTCAACGACTAGATATGCATGGTGAGATAATGTGCTTGTAATACTAGTCATTTATAGGCGGCTATGAGAATAGAAAAGAGTGTTTAGAGAGTTATGAAAATGAATTAAAGAGCGGCGATAGTGACAGAAATGATGGCAGAATAAAAACGAAGTAGAGATATTTTAATGATAGATTCGGGTTATCTTATAAATATGTAGTGTGCCAGATGTGAAACAACGAAAAGTCGGTACGAGCAAGCATTATAAACACAACTCACCTCATGTGATCCGCGGGTGAATCCAGTAGTTTCTGGTAACAAACAAAATCTCAGGGGAGGACTGCAAATATAATAATAAATACGATTAAGTTACGATCAAAAAAAAAAAAAAGAAGCTTTGGGGTCGTCCTGATTGGGGTTTAGCACTTGTACTTCCCTATTTTGTTGTATTCTTGCCTTTTGTAGTATGCATGTATAAAGATTAAACCGTGTTTAGTGTAAATACTTAATGTCAATAAAGAATTAACGGCCAATGAATTTATGAATTGAAAAGGCGCAGTAATATACAATCTCTTGAGCCTTCAAACTGACATCATAATGATCAACATTGGCAAAAGTAAGAGATTGGCTACAGTACGTGTGTTAAGATCGAACTGTTAGCGATTAACGTTGGCCCCTTCGATTAGATATAACCATTTGAACTTTATTAGCAATCTTATTTTAGAACATGCTATAAATACACTCGGTGAACAGTGATTTACATTATTACAAGATAAAACAAGTAAAAGATCGTTAATCAAGTTGGAGATTGTTGTGTCACCTGGGAAGAAATTTGAACCGATCCGTTCTATTGGATTGAACAATAATAGTGTATGTATGCCGACGTTCTTTATTGTTTAGTTGTCAGAGAAAAGAACAACGACTTTCCTTAAAAATAAATTGTGCGTTTGGGATTTACATTGTCAATGCACATTTATTTCAGATTGATAAGCGACCGAACAACTCATCTACAAACCTAATCCTTATCTACAATTTATTTGTTCTTTTCGAATCACACATTGATATTCCTTTTACGGTAGTGGTACGGTACAATCGAAAATTTTTAAACGTACACATGATTTCGTGTAACATTTCCATAAAACAAACACCCCGAAAAAAGTTAATTGTCTGGTATCTAATATTAGTGACTTAGTTTTTGCCTTATCCACTTGCAATCTAATTCGGTATTCATGTTATTCAAACATGTATGAATGCGTCAAAACCAGCAAATTCTCGTTTTAGATCTGGGTAATAAATATATCTGGACATGTTATAGTAGAAGAAGTAGACTGTCAACTACTTATTTAATGTAAGAACCCAACACTTAGCATTCATTGTAGATGCGTATGCCGAATTTGCAAACGTAGTCTCAAGGTTAAACATGTGATTGGAAAAACGTCAAGCGATGATCGGCTTATCGATGGTTTGGAAGAATACTTACATAATCGGAAGTTATTAATTTTTTATTACGCGAGTGTATAAATACTTCAACGCCGAAATCTGGGCTGATTTGTCAGCCCCAATATTCTGGTTCAAACTACAGATTCCATATGGAATGTTCTTTGTGCAACACAGAACGACAATGAATTCAATGCAGAATTTCCATAGGTCCACCTACTTACAGGCATGGGAAAATTAATTTTTACTAACCAAATAAAGAGGCTATCTGTCGGGTCAACAGACAAACATATGTCGATCAGAAAGAGTGTTTCCGTAAATGAGTAACATGCAGTTGAGCGCGTGGTGGCAAGGTAGCATACTATAATTCTTTTTCACAGAAACCCAGACTTTCGCCGCTTTCCCGTTCGACAGACAGAACGTTGTGGTCACATATGCTTGATTACCAATCATGTCAATCATCGTAGAACTTGGATATACCGTACACAATTTAATTATCGTGGTCAAGCTTACATCAGCAAACTGAAGCCAATTTCTAAGAAATTCGAGACATCGTTTTTAAGCAGTCAAGCTTGGAAATGTGTCACATCAAAGCAAGTTACACCCAGTTTTGCATAAATATTGATGAGTATATCGAGTTGGGAGGGATATTTTAATCTGGACTTCAGAATAGAGTTTTGAATTATCGTGCTCTGAATATTCCATCTGAATCTGGATACTTAATGTCGTGCAAGCTTATCTCCCTGTCAAGTCATGTCACTGACCTCTAATTTCCATCTAATCATTTGAACTTTTTCTCGTGCCTTTGATTCTTTCCCAACTATCATTGATTTTTTAATGCTCTTACATATTATTTATGACAATTTCTATTTCACTCAAGCCAGCGGCCCTTCAATTTTCGTATCTCCAATTTCGTCCAAATAAGTTTTCTCTTCTCTCCCACTACATTATTTCTTAGCAATTTTTGTCTGTTTATAGTTTCTATATTCCATTTTGCATCTCAACCATTCTTATTCCTGGCTAATAACCATCGATTTAGCAGTCTTGTTTAGATAACTCTGCCTCTATTCATGTACTAGCTGTCTAAAAACAGCTTTAAGTCGTTTTTTACAAAAAATAAACACTCCAATTACCCAACTAATTGAGAAAAAAATATAAAGCATAAGAAAGAACAGAACGCACAATAACTCAGGCAAGCATTAATTTTGATTGCCAATACACTCTTATAAGATAAGTGATGCGAAGTCAAACTAGTTTCCTCAAAAAAGTTTCTCTTCATTTCTTGTAGCAGACATAGCAGATAGCCTTTAAAAATTTTAGTAATTATTCTATGATCCGTGTTTCGTAATATACTTTATACTATCCGTAATATTGAAAAAATATAAAACAATTATTACGGGTAAAACCTATTTGAGCCGACACTGACCAAACAAGTATCGGATTTAACCAGCTGTCTAACGACCGAATTATCTGAATCGGTCTCTGGCTAAACCGACAAAAAACAAAACAAGGTTGCCGGTTTAAACAGGTTTTACCTATACAAACATATACTGTAATTTTAATCGCGTTATTATTCCTTTAAATACTGTACATATTTTGATGTATATTTAATATTCGTAAGCGCTTGAGGTTAGAATTGCGGAATCAGATAAGACAGTCAGAAAATGCCAAACTCAAAGCTGAAAACGGGCTTTACGAAGCACAAACAAACTACTCTTAATTATTTAAAATTTCCACTCCAAAGATGGCACAAATAGAGAAGATGCAACAAATTACAGATTTTCGACACGATTAGCACTGACCTTGTAACTTTAAATACTTCAGAACAGATAGTTGATACATTGAACTAATGAAATTTGGTCTGGCAAAGTTAAACGAGAAAGTTAATAACTTTAGATCAGAAATAGGGAAAAAATTACTAATGAGATAAGACAGGGCCAATAAAGTAAAAAGCTTTAGGGTCAAGACTTATCTTTTTTTAATCAAACTACTTCAACAAAATCTAATAATATGCCTGATTTCTAGCAATTCCATAAAACTCTTCAGTAAATATGTGGATCTACCAACCTTGTAGGGATATGTTTTCTCCAGCTTGCCAATTTTCATTATGTGTTATAGCATTTCTGAACAAAATAAATAAAAATGTTTATTCATACATTTGGTTGACATGTGGCACCTTTAGTGCTTCCAGATGTAACTGTTATTTTACTGTAATCTGATACTTCTGCTCTTTCTGCTATTTTTTTTAAAGCAAAATTGTCGATTGCTTCTGATAACTTGTTAAGTTTTAATATTAGCCCACCCGCTTTTTTTTGCTGCATATGTGTCGACCCTGAGATTATTTACTATGAGAATATATTTCTTGTTTTGATTTGCATAGTCTAGGATTGAAATAATTGACCACTCGGACTAATTTGTCAAGGTATTTATGCACAAAATCTAAATAATATAAAAAATTACTGCGCATGTTATTATACAAACAATTGAAAATAAATTGCACAGTCGAGGAAACTGAAGACACTGGCCATATGCCAGTGGTATACACAACGCAGCACTGGACAGAAAATTACAGGCCGTGAGCATGACTCATGGATGTTCCCGCAGACCAGTCATATGGTTGTTAGCAGGAATGGGGAGATATTTTCTTGTCATCTTTGACTTGTAAATGTCATATGTTCGCATAACCAATGGCCCTTTCGATCTTATTACAATAATCGTCTGGTGGTCTGCCCCACATATGGTAGAATCTGATTGAGAGCCGTTTGTATAGTTACATATATTTACTGTCAGCATTCGCCATGTTTTGATTCTTTAGTATATTAATTCTGTAATCCTTTAATTTAAAAAAATTTAGCTCTTGTTTTACGTTTCCGATTTCATATATTTCCTATATTGTCTTATTTTTTGCATAATAAAATGTGTGCATTAATTCTTCACCTTTATAACTCCTTCACATCATCCAATATAATTGCAGTAGTGTTTTACCAGCCCATAGCATCATCGATAGCGACCCGGGTGTTTTTTTTTCTGTTGCTAAATTATAATATTGGGTTAATTTGTCTAACGCATGTTCAACTAAGTTTCTCAGCGATGAATTAGGAAAGTAGCGTGACTTACCTCAGTGATCCCGTTGAAAAAAATGTGCCAGCCTTGGTGTTCTTGGAGTAGGCTTAGCCCTTCTTTATTTTTTTAAGGTCTAAGTCTGAAAATACTTCTTCATACTCAGCAATTTGATTATTTTTGATATCAATAGCAGTTTTGTTTGCTTAATTTACTAAACCTCATAATTTGTCGGATATTTTTTTATTGGTATAACTAGTTTCTAATCCGTTATGTTGCATGAATGCCGAATCTAGCCAATATTTCTCTCCCACTCTATATTTCGCGAAAAAAAAAAAGATGATGTCTGGCAAATTTAAGCTGGTAATTTATATTGATCCTAAAAAATTCAAATAATCTGTTGTATTCTCTATTTAGGCCTCAAGGTTATTATCAGACCACTGAAAAATTGCGCGATTTGTGTAAGAAAGCCGGAATTGGCTGATGTGAGAGATTGGTTGAATAAACAGGCTCTGCATCAAATTCACAAGCCTCGCCCAAATTTATTCTGAGATTGTCATTTAATAAAATTACTGT